ATCTCTTTGGATCAAATCTTATGCTGGAGACTAATATAGAAGGAAACGAAACAAACCCAAATCATAGAAAAGAAGAAGCTGCAGCAGCTGAAGACAGAACTGCAAGGCAGGATTTATCTGACATGACCACAAGCAATTCTGTTAAATTTATAAAATCTACATGAATGCCAGGCAAGGCAAAGACACACACATTCCAATCAATTCATTGGCACCACTCCACCAGACATGTTTCAAGCTCCCAGTCCCCTATCACTGCAAGGCTGGGGACCAGGGTGCTCAGACCCTTCTCCTTTCCAGCTGGTTTTCCACGATGGCCTCGTCAGCCAGGAGCAGGCTACTGAAGATGGGCACACACACTCCCTGCTGCCAATATCCATTAACAAGGACTCAACATGCCTGCAAAGTGAGGAGAACCGGGGTCACTGAACGTCAGGGAGCTCAGCATCCTTTCTTGGGGGTGCCCAGTGCCTTTGAAGATCAGGCCCTCGGGTACTCACTAAGCGAAGACATGAATAGACCTTTCTCTCTGCCCTCACTGGAGACACTGGCAGCATTGTTAGAGCACAAGCACAACCAAGTCTAAACTGGCTGAAAATTTGGCTGGCCTTTTTGCTTCAGCAAATGGCAGCATTGCTCACAGAGTGTGAAGGGCATGAAAGGATTAGCCGCCCTCCCCCAGCAAGCAGGTGAGCTGAAACCCTTTCCAATTCACTACATGTCAGTTTACAAGTAAAACATAAGGTATAAATGCAGCTATTGTTAAGGTGAAGCAGCCATCCTGGCTGGGGAGTTAGATTAGCAATTTACCCTTTGTAAAAGGATTAGCACAGCCCTATTGTTTCTGTGTTTATTTATCAATTTGCATTTTTAAAAGGGGGCATATATCTGACAAGGGCCCACGTTCTCCATGTACCGCGGACCACACCATTTCCTTCCAACTCCCCATTGACAGAACTTACCAGAGCATTTTATAGACCAGAAATCGAGGAGAACCCAAAACTTTGGCACTGCTGCTGCTCACACAGCACTTTGTTGGGCCGGCAGGCATTCCTCCGTCTTTCAGCTGAGAGCAACTGCTGGGTGCTGCCAGCCATGCAGATCAAACACCAGAATTGGCTTCCCACTTTTCCTCGGAGACCTGAGCTGAATGCAAAGATATTTACAGCCCATTCACCAGTTTCTAAGGACATGGAAACCTGTGCCAGGTTCTTCCCTCACATGGATTGCAGGCACCAAAGCAATGAAGCACCTCTGTAATTTGCACTGATTCCACACTCGAGGTCTTCAAAGCCCCTCAAATAATTTGTATAGCTTCCACTGGGCTCACAAAAGCCTGTTTTCTTCACTGACAAGGGTAGTGAAGAAATTACTTGGTCCATTAAGCACAGAGGTTAGCATCCAACATCATTTCTTGGCATCCCAACATCTCCAATGGGTCCTCAACTCCAGTTGTGTTGGGAGCTTACAGAGCCTTTGGGAGCCTTGTAAGCGAGCCTTTATTGCTGCAAGGGCTGGTTCAGGCTCCAGGAGCCGCAGGGACTCCTCGCTGGAGTTCAAGTTGAGGGAAGAGGTTTCACACAGAGCCGTCCGCAGCACGGGAGAGGGGGAACGCTGCTCAGCCAGCCAGCTCCGCCAGGAGCACAGACTGGCCATTTGGCAGACAACAGCTGCTCACTCGGATTAGGTAAAAATTCCTTCGTTAGAGGGAGCAGGGGTGTTTTGGAAGGTGAGTGAGAGAGCAGATTTTTAATTAAAGTGACGCCAGTGCATTTGCACTCTGGAGCGGCCCCACACCCCGCTTTTCCATCAGACGGCGATTTAGGAAGCTATTCTTTTAGACCATAAAAACAGTTTGGAAGACGAACAAGCATCCAGCTGTGCTAAATTATTTTCCCGCTCCCTCAGGACCCAGCAGCAAACTACAGCATGTATTTTACAGGCGTATGATTTATTTATATGGACTAACATACAGGTATTGATTTTGACCCGTAAACCCCCTCTGTGGCTGGGGGCCTACACATCCCAAAGCCTTCTCCCAGCTCAGGCTCCACCACCACAGCTGTGCAGGAGCAGGATCCCCATTTGTGAGAGAGGGAAAAGAAACCACAGGGTGTTCTCTGGCTTTTTATAACTCCTTCCTCACATCCATTTAGTTTTCTTTTTCCAAACAATTCTAGCTTGTTGATCAAGCATCGCACACAGGCAATTCATTTTTCCTGGTCAAGGGGGAAATGAGGAGGCTCCAGTGGGAGCTGTTAAGATCTTAAAATACGTTCTGTGCTGCTGGCTTATTGCAGATACTCTGATTGATGGTCAAAAAGGAAGGCCACGAGTGGACTCGATTAAAGACTTGAATTTAGGAATCATCAAGGAGCACTTAAGGCAAGCAACAGATACTCTGCCCTGAGGATCATGTGCAAACGTAAAATAAAATAAAATTAAGTACACAAAAAAGGAAGGGAGAGAATTTAGCAACAGACCCTGTCCCACAGGGCTTACAATTTACATTTAGATTAGCACAAGTAGAAGCAACATTACAGGGAAGGTGGGTGAATGTTACAACAACGAAACTTTGTGGCTGGCCTGCATTGTAATTTCACTAATTAGAAAAAATGAAGGTTCTGGTTAATACATCAGTGCTATCGACATTTCCATGAATTTGAGGGAGGTACACAAATACCTGTGGGATAAACTCTTTGATTGGATTTAGCCATTCTGCTCCCTAGAGTAATGGTTTTAAATCATTAGCCTTTGAGGCCTGCTTTGAAGATAAATGAAACGTACCTCCAGAAGAAACAAGCCTATTTCCTAAACATACATTCACTGTATGTCCCTGAGTAATGCTGGTGGGCACAACAGAACAAATCATGTGATGTTGCTCCAGGATGACACATGGAGAGGACTTCTTGCTCTTTTTACTCAGCTGAGAAAAATCAATTACCACATCCTCATGGACAAGGGCTGGCAATCTCTCCATGCATGGAGCTACTGACCTCTCCATAGGAGCTGGATTAACCAGGCTGACCGCTGGTGAGTGCTCAGGTGTCTGTAAACATTGGCCTACACAAGGATGCCTCAACTTGAGAGCATGTCTTCTCAACAGACCTGCAGAGGCCTCAGTCCTCTTTTAGACTGGACTAGCGTGGCTGTTAGCAATAACTAGCTAATTATTCATGACTCTTCCCATAACAGGGCCCTCTCCTGCTCCCGATTTACCAAGATTCCCTTCTCAGTATGGGAGCAGAGACGTGACTGTGACTCTCTGATGCTTCCTGACACTCCTCCAAAGGCCGGTGATACCAGCCTAAGATCTGTGAAGATACCTGCTGATGCCAAGAACTGTACTGAAGTGTAATTTTTGTTCAGCTCAATGTTTAAGGTTGAATAGTATAGGTGAACTACCATGAGGCATGGCTGAAATGAGCACTGTGTGGATACAACTGAATATATTGCCTCATCCAAAAGGAATAGAAGGGAAAAGCCAATTACTCTGCACTGAGAATGCTTTCCCATTCAGATGAGAAACAGACCAGGGATCTCTTGGTATTGTTAATATTTGATCCACTTTATCTTAATATACTAAATTACCCCAGATTTTCCGCCTAATATTCTGTTGTCATGAGTTTTCTGGATTGAAATGAGGAAACAGAAATCAATATTTACCAATCATATCAGATATAATAATATAATAATCAATATACAGACAAGCTTTTGAATGGCAACCTTGTTCTGGCAATTTATCACATTAGCACATGTGTCTGGGGTGAGACTTCAGCTTCCAAAGGTACCTTTCAATACCATGCTTCATATTCCCCTTCCTCACCCTGCTCACTGAGCAAAGGAGTTTCCTCAACCCAGCTACTGACTGCTGTCATGATACTTTCTATTTCAGCTTCAGGAACATCAAAAGGCAAATCAATTATGATTTTAGAGTGCCCACAGTCAACTGTTTTAAGTCAAACAAAGGTTTAACAACACATTCTAGTTTTAAGGCAAGCTTCAAAAAATTCTGGATGACCACAGAGTATTCCATGGTCAAGGCTAAATGGACACCCAGCGTACCAGGCAAGTATTCTAGAGAATACTGTGACTACTGTTTAAAGGAAAACAGATAGTGAATTAATGAGGCAGAGGTCAACAAGTGGTTCTGGTACAAAACATTTTAAAAAAATGCAGACCCAGATCATGGTACAGTAATTTTTATTGCAGAGATCAGTAGGCCAGCACAGCTATTCATAAGTACTGCACATAGATGAGTGCCTCATGCTTATGCCAGCCTGCACAGGGCTAAAATGGAAGCATATAACCAATTAGTGTTAATAGGCAAACAGTCATTAGAAGTGTTAACAAGTGATGGTGGAGAGGCTCTGTTTTTCATTTTATTACTGATCTCTAGTAAGTGTTATTATCCTCATAGAATAACATTCTATTATGAAATGCACATGCACAGCATTAAAGCCTTTGATAGACCAATGCTCGCCAGCGGCAGCAAAACTGTAAACAAAGTGAAAGAATCATTTCTGAAATGCCAACAGCCATTAGTATTCACAAAGTTTAGAGGATGCAGAGAGCCAATATGCTAAAGTGTAAATAACAGGGATTTACTATGACCTGGAGATCTACGGGATCACTTGAATATTCAGTTTCTTCCCATTTTTAAAAAGAGCCTAAACACACGTTTAATCTCAGTTGATTTGTGCCTGAACTAGAGTCTTGAGTCTGTTACATATTTTCAAATCTTTTTATCCAATAGAGTCCCCTAAAATTTTTCTCTTTTATAACACAGCAAGCAGCTGCAACTAATCATATTTCATTATAGTTTTGTATATGTTTTGTTTTAAAACAAATTTTACTTAACCAACAAAAATGCAATTGAGCAACTTTTGCTCACTGTAGAAATAAGATTTTTCTGAAGACTGGCAGAATTGGACATAACATCAGATACAATTAAGACAATGTATTTATTTTAAATTTTAGCTAGGAGGACATGGATTGAGGAAAAAAAAATAAAAAATCTTGAAATGAAGAAGTTTACAGGACAAGACAGACTTAATCTTTGCCTACTTTCTGTTACTGTTCACAGACAGATGACCTGAAAATTATGGATGCATTTTACATGACTGCCTATTTATTGCAACCATTTCTTTAGCTTTGACATACAACCAGAACAATAAGTGAACAAGGCTTACATTTCTGTGCTGGAAATATGCAGTCTCCATCCATCAGGAAAAGTCTCAATGGGAACTCAACCTACAACATCCTAACAAGTAACACCAAGTAACACCAAGGCCCTCCCAAGCCACCTTCAGCACCAACACAACAGAGCAGTGAAGTGCACACAAGTCACTTTACTGCCCTGCATAGGCTACGTTTAGGAAAACTTTACTGAGCTATTAAATAAGCAATTATGACGATATAAGATATTAAATACAGATAGGGTTGTGTCAACCAAGCTACTAAATTTGGGCTTTAGGCTTTTTAAATTCTTCCCCGCAGAAATATTTGGGGTATTCAAATAAGCATTACACCTTTCCCTCTAACACACACCTCTTTCTTCAGAAGATACCTAAAATTCAGCAAAGAAAGAAAATAAAGAAAAACGTAACACAGCAAAGTCCTACTGGGGAATAGGGTTTTAATGAACACACAAAGCAACTAGGTGACATCTTTATCAGCCCTCATAAACCTTGATTGAATACACAGTGATAAGGCCTGTTTAAACTGTCATCCTCACGATAACACAGGCAGAGACAACGCGGGCCTTAGCAACGACCTGTGCGAGGGAGGCCCTTGGTGAAGAGGCCGCCCTTCCCACCGTGCTGTGAACAGTCCAGAGCCTGCATGGCTGCCTGGGCCGTGCCATGCTGGGAGGCAGAGGGCTGAGGGCTGCCCAGGATGGTAGTACAACCACGTCTTCCCCCAGCACTGCCTTGGAAGAGCACCTGCATCAGGGCTCGTCTGGCTTTGGGGATGGCCAGCTCTCTGGGGAAGATGGGTGCTCTGAGTCACAGTGACCTTCAGCACTCACATCTGCAAACACCAAGAATTTCGTGTAAGTGGTTTTAAAGAATTCAAGGAAAGGCTTTTTGGGGGTTCTTCGGTGTTTGTTTTTGGTTGTTTTGTTGTTGAGGTTTTTCTAAACCACCGTAATCTAGGAGGTGCAGAACATTCAGCACTAGGAAGCGAGTTGGCATTTGGGGCCAGCATGGCTATGGAAGTTGCCAGTGACGTGACTTCTATCAGATTGGCCTTGGCCATCTAGAATACTTTATTTTTTTTTTAAAATAACTATTTCAAACCTGTAAGCACCTCCAAGAAACACCTATGCAAATGGCCAAGTTAGTAAATTAGGATTTAATTGTACTTCTGCAATTATTTCTAACTTAAAGAAAATACAACACAGACTTGAACTTTTATTCATTCTCCCCAAAAATCGTTCTTCCCTCACTGCAGTGCTTGCAGTGACACCCACTGGCTATGGGAGGTGGAGTTCCAGGGAGCACTTTTAAAAATGCTTCAGTGCATCGAGAAGATCACAGAGACAGAACCTCAGAAAAACGCTGCCATTCAAAAGCTGGCATTTTGTCAGTTCACTTAAAGTTATAACTCAGTACCCTGTATTGAATACAGCTCTTTCTCATTAACAGCTTTAATAAGGAAATAATGATTAACAGTTACTTGTTAAGTATAATAAAATACATATTTGTATATAATTACTAGTTAATTAGTAACTCCCACTGCTTGGGTGGTGGAAGGTATATGCCTATTTTCTCTGTGGCAAGATTGAAGTAGTACTAGCACCTGGTTTCAGTTTTCATCAGGAAAACTCTGAACTGAGCTGGTACACCACTGTGTGACTGGCTGGCAGGGGAGGCATCTGACCTACTCAGGAACTCATTAAGGCTGTTGTAGGATTCCCTGCATACACCAGCAGATTTCTTTTCTTACCCCCATAGCAGCAATTTCTCATTTCACACTTAAGAAAGAGAGGAAACACAAAACTAAGTGACTTATGTAAAGACTCACAGGAAAACCATGGAAACCAAATCTAACAAATCATAACCTAATGGCCTCAGTTAAGAGGATAACTTGTTTCTTCAACTGTATTAGAGAAAATTCTCTGTAATATATATACCTAAGTTCTTAATGTTTAAACAAAACTATTCAAGTTTAAGCTGAAACACAAACAAATCACTCCTGTTACACAAGGTATTTACCAGAAAAAAAGGCTGAGTTTTAATTTAACTGCAACATGATGGTTTGGAACAGATCAAGATCAAGGGAAATTTCAGAAATACTTAGAATAAAAAATTAGAAAAAAAAGAGACCTACTTTTTTGCCTGCTCCATGGCATGAGCCAAGAGCAAATAGCTCCTGGCTGTCAGCACGCAAGGTGTGTTTGCTGACTTACTCAGATTAAAAATATTTTAGTCACCCTTGTGTTATTTCCCGCATATACAGTGCTAATGTTCTCTCCAGAGAGTCAGAAGCAGAACTATTACATTCATGGAAAACACATTTATACAGGACTTCCCCCAGAGCTGAAAAAAAATAAAAAAATTATCCAATGCCTTCCAGCCAAACTTCCTCCTGAAGTGAAAAATCCTTCCCTTTGATAAGAAAGCTGCATTAGACCACATTTCTGTCCCTGACAAAAGAACCGTTCTCCCTTGGCTTACTCCAGTTTTGGCAGCTGTGCTCAGCAGAATCAGGCTGCTCTTCCCAGCCAGTCACCAAGTTTAGCAGAGACACCACTTTATCTTTCCTGAACAATAAAACAAAAATGAACTATGCACAAGCAAGCAGTAACTGTGGGTAACTCTGCCCACAGCTCCAAGGCAGGCAATTCTCTGGATTAGAAATTCCATCAATAACATAACACTTCATTAAAGACTTCTCTGTCCTCCCCCTCTCCCCTGTTTTTTTTTTTGCCTGTCCACATTCAAAGCTATCTAAGGAGATGTTCAATGCTGCATATACACAGTTTGCAGCAAAACAAGCTAGGCTTGTTAGCTTCCTTCATTCTTTCCATACCAGGAGGAAGCAAATTAATAAAGCACAGGGAAAGACACTTTTCACACAAACATGGAAAGCTGGTGCCTTATAGATTCTCTTGTTTCTAATTCATTGACAGCCAATCCACAGACACACAAGCAAACTTGTTCCAGAGTTTTGGGCTAAGAATTAATTAAGCACCACCCAATGCTCAATGCTCCCTAGGGTACCTACTGACCTCATCTCAGCCTACCCACCCTTCCAGAAAAGCCAGATGTACCAACCCATGAAAAATATTATGCTATCATGGATGCAGTGCGCTTTTGCTCTCACTGCTAGCTCCTATGGACACAGCACTGTGCCATGGAGATGCCTTAATCTACATCTACCCTTCAGACTCTGCAGGTCACACAGCATTTAGCATTCCGCTGTGACAAGGAAGAGCTTAACCTAGGATGTGCTAAGCCCTTCCTTATCTTCCCTAGAAAAACCTGCCAGCTCCAGGCCATCTCTATTAATATTCCTATGAGCAGAGCTGGCTAGCTTAGTGTTTAAATACCTGTACCTCATAAAACAACCAATCTTAGGCTAACAGGCCTAATTTTGTAGGAAAGGACAGGCCAAATCCAAGAATTCCAGGCACAGCAATGATACCCCCATTGACTTCCTGTCAAAATTAAATGCCACATGAAAAAAAAGGCATCTTAACATTTGATAACTGAAGATAGTCAGAAAGAAAAAGAGCAGACCAAATCATTGAGTTCCTTTCCTTGTCCTGGAAAGTTACAGAGGATAACACTAGCTCTCCTATAACCCCACAAGTGCACACTCATATCCTTGGAAGGATGTTCTGTGGAGAGGTAGTATGATAGTCAGGACAAGTGAAACAGACATATGGGATATATGTTTGATTTTGGCAAATCCAGATAGCAAGTAGCAATTATTGCAGCATTTTTGGCTAAATGGAAATTGGCAAGAGAATCAAAAAAACAGGCATAGTTGCCATCCAGGAGAGGCCAAGAGAAAAACCAAAACAAACCAAAAGCCAACCAACCAACCAAAAAAAAAAAAAAAAGGATAACTCTCTTCTGAACCATTCCTGCTAGTTGCTTTTTTTCTTCCCTGAGGACTATTTGACTATGCCCTCAAAGCTGAGAAACTCCTACAAAAGCCAATGGCTAACCTTTCCTGGAGTGCTCAACAACTGCTTGCCAAATCTCGGTGTCACTGTTTGATTCAGCACAGCAGATAAAGCCTAAAATTACATGTCTGGTATCCCAATCTTGTTAATAAAGATAGGCTTTTCAAATCTATTTTACTTCTATGCCACTTACCAATAAAGCAATGTCAGCTCAGGATAAGTAGATGCCCAGAGGGCTTGGCCCACTCAACCCTACTTGGTTGCAACACTTTAAAAGCGTAAGTGGCTCCCAGCTTCTGCTTGCTGCAGGGCAAGCACCTCACACAGCTCATTACTGAGCAGTTGATTTGCAGCAGCTCCTTTATGTTGCTGCCTGGGTGCAGACAGCCACAGCACACAGAAAATCCTAGTCAAGATCACTTACTCCTTTACATCCTTTGTGTGTGTCATGGGAAGAGAGCTGTGTTAAATAGAACAGCAGATCCACTTCTGCACCAGAGACTGGCTTGTAACTCCCATGCCTTCCTTCTCCATGGGTGGAATAGTTTCAGTATAAGACATCTTCCTCCAGGGAGATTTGGTGTGGAAGGACCTGTCCAAGATGGTGGGACATGAAGCATATAGCAGGGTTACAGCAGGACTCAAAATATCCTCCTCCAGGGAGGGTACAGAAGAACTTAAAACTCAATTTTAGTAGATTATTCTTCTATCAAATTTGCCATCTGAGTTTCTCACCTCGTAAAGTCCAGGAGGACTAGGTCTATGACTGTATTTCAGCTTTAGGTTTCCCCATGCCCTTACTCTAGCACACTTTTCTATCTCAACAAAAAAGTGTGGTGCTTCCATACCATATTGTCTACATTAAATGGTGTGAGAATGTCATTTCAGAGGACAATTTGAAGACTTCCTCAGCCTTACACAGAATCAGAATCACCTGACCAAAACCAAAGATCAATATAAATTAGGCGTTTTAAGTGCCATGTGCTATAAATCAGAAAAATAGACATAAAACTTGAGCATGATGCAGCTGTACCACAAACAGCTTAACTAGGGCCTCTATTAGGAAAAACTGCCTTGTCTGGATAGCCCTGAAGTAATCTTTATTTTACAGGTCTCATCACAGAAGAAGAGAGGAACAGTAGTATTCTATTTAAAGCCAACAATCTATGGCCATTGGGAAATAAATGTTATGTAACTGCTATTTAGTTTATATAGCTTTCACACAGAAGATCACGATACCTTACTACTGTTAAGGTATATACACAGTAGGGGTTATGAAATTTTAGCAGAAAAGTATTACTTAGAATGTGGTTTCAGACTTACTTTATTCAAAGAGATGGAATTCTTTTCCTAATTCTTTATGAAGGCAGCAAGAAGTCCAAAACCAGAACCCTTCTCTTTGCAAGCAATCCTAGGTGAACTTCCTCCAGGCAACATAAGTGCACAAGAAACTCTAGACAGAAGTTTCTCTCTTCAAGTTGTCTGTACAGTTTCTTTGAAAAGAAACCCTTAAGCTGTCACCAAAAACCACGATACAGTAAGAATGAAAATTACAGGTGGTCTATAGGACAAAAAGACACCACTAAAGCTAAACAACCTTGAAACATTTACTTGTTTCTGAATTTCCTTATACCGTTGAGATCAGAAGTGCCCCTTATCCTTTCCTCAGATGGTATACAAAATTTCTTATGCCACCAATGGAGAGAAATAAGGGATGTCAATAAATTAATGTGAAATTATGCCAAGACCAAATTCAGGAATTCCTCCTATCAGTACAAGAAATTCAGTGTGGAGTAAGGGACACAAGGACAGGACCCAATATGCTTATGCCAACCTCAAGTGAAAAAGAAAATAGGAGGACAACATTCAGAAGGGACATACCATGAAAGAAGGGACACAGTTCTGCTATTAAAAATACAGACAAAGAAAGAATTGAAATGGAGGATTTCAGCAGAGGAGACAGAAGCACTGAGGACACGAAATACAACCCACAACAGATGTGACAGAGAAAATAAGTTGCAAACACGAAAGTAAGGCCCCTTGTTAAATTCAACACACATAAGAACCTGTGCCTGAGTGACACTGACTGTCTCAAGATCCCTATTTGTGAAACATGACTTTGCTACAAGGGATGGAAATTTTTGTTGAAGGAATAGCTCTCTGGTCTGTTCAGCCTCTTGGGAGAAAGATTATGAGTTACTTCAAATTTCTGGCCTTCAAGTAACTTACATACTCAGAGAAGCCTTGAGAAGCTGGACATTCCTTCCACTGAGCAGCCCGATAGGCTTCAAAGCATATTTAACTATAAGCTGTGTTACTATAAAGTGGAAAACATTAATCAGCTCTAGCCATCTAGGGAGACTGTGGTTATCATTAAGAACATGTGGGACACTCATACAAGAATTCTTTTCCCCTGCCCACTGGACAAGCTCTTTCATATAGTTTATCTGCTCCAACTGCATGCTTTTGAAAAAAAGCTTGACTAAATGAATACTTTCAACTAGAGCTAAAGGCAAACACTCCACTGGAACTTTGCCCTAATCAATAGTAGCAATGTTCATGTCACATGAGAGTCAGAGGACAGAATATGGTGCTTACTGAAGTCAGCAAATAACCTAATTATACTTAGCCTGCTTGAAGAAGGAGACAAGTAAGGTCTGGTCCACCCACATATTAATGCAATCATCATTATCCTTATCCCTTGTTTGCTTTCTGCTTATATTGTAATAAAAACTTGTGTGAAATGGAGGGTGCTACTGACCCCTTGTGGGAGAAATACTCACACATTTCAGGATGCAGACGCGTCAGTGGGGAAATCGGCTCAGAATTAAGTTTATCTCCTTACCTCCCACAGATTTATTTCTAATGAAAATTCAGTGAAACAGAGTTAGGGCTGCAAGAGGTCACTATTGTCTCACAAGTGTATTTGCACAATTTCAGGTAATTTTACAGAAATTTAGGTTTATTAGCTTCTCTAGGGCAGTCACATAAGCATCAATAAATCCTAATTGTAGTAGATACTGCAATGACTTTCCCATAACTTAAAGACTTGCATTATTGAAGACCAAAACTTACACACTGGCAGTTGGCATGGTTCTCAATTTTTAATGTAATTTAAACTATTTTAATCCATCACTTGCTAGAGACTGCAAAAAACTCCAGCCTTACTATCTCCTGGAAAGCAAGAACATACTACTCTGCTGAAAAGGGAACAAACTATTTAGAACCCTGAAGTGTTTTTCAGCCAAAACCTTCTTGTAAATATCAAGGAAAGTCAGTATGACTCCTTCTTGAAAGCCAAAGTTTTCCAGTGCATGTCACTGTCATGATAAGGGCTGCACGAAGTATAAGAACTACAACAATTTTATTCCTGACAACTTATGTTTCCTTTCCTTATGGTGGAAAACCAAGTCGGAAAAGGAAGGCTAATGCTTTTTATCCCAATACTACCACTAATCTTTACTCCCTAAATGAAACAGAGTACACCCATAAAGAACCACCACCCTCTGCATTTGATTCATGTCAAATCCGAAGGACATCTCCATGCACTTTCACCGCTCTCATCAAAAACAGATGACTGTATATGGGATATAGCTGGAATGACTTAGAACAGCAAAGTGTACTATACAGAAATTAATTTCATAACACAGTATTTATATTATAAAATTATTATAATTATTCATATTGCACAGTATGAAACAGCCTTCTCAAAATCCAAACCCATCAATACCAAACACTAGCAAAACCTGAAGCTTCCACTGCAATCAACAGCAGGGGCTGAAACCACTGCAATCACCGAGACGAAGCCTTGAACCAATTCCAGCAGCGCTCCCATCACATTCAATGAACACATAAGGAGAAATATGTGAACAGCTTGTAAATCCCAAAGCAAAGAACAAGAGGCTATTTCAAATGTATTTCAACAATTTGCATCAATTATTTCAAAATAAAGTTTTTTCAAAAGTATTTGAGAACACTGTTTTCATACAGACCTGTTATATAAACCAAGGCTGAAGAAACTTGAAAAATGAAAAGAAACTGAGAAAGAGAGCAACAAACTTTTTATTCTGTCAGTTCCTTTTTTTCACCTGTACACTAGGACAAATAAAAACACTAAGCCATATAAGTCTGGTTTGTTTTGTTGCCTTTGATTACATAGACTTTTTTTTAACAAATGCATCCATTAAATTGAATCCTAAAAGTACAAACTATGATGCAGCATCTGTTGTCTCAGAATATGGAAGTTACTGTATCTGGCAGGAGATGTCTTAACGATCACATTCACGTAGCCAGATCTGTAAAGGCCATTCAATTACAAGTAAACACAGAGTCTAACATATACTTAACAGCAACTCTGGTCAGTAGAACAGTACTATGAACTGCATATTTACAGAAAAATGTGCACATAATCCAAAAATAATTTTAAATCAACCTTTCTGTTACAACATAATCCACCCTTCAAACTTTACTGTGCTGCTTTAACAATGTTTGAGTACCTTGGAGATTCAAAGGCACAAAATACTTCTGATGCTTCCACAAACTCATTCTTCAGGAACATATTATAAAAGAACCAGGTTTTTTAGAACTTTGGACTGCAAAATTTCTCAATAAAGTCTGGTGCACTTTTAAAAATTGTATGCCAACAAGTAACCAAGTTTGTAAATATTTTTTCAGGTATACAATTTTCTAATTCCACGGTGACATCTAACATCATTACAACTAAGAAGGAGGAAGACAAATGAGCCACCACCCCATTTCCAATGTTGTGTGCAAAAAATCAGTAATTCAGTCCAACTATACTTTTAAAACAAATCTCTTGAAAAAGTCAGTATACATCATATATGACAAGTTTTACTAACCATACAGTACATCAGCATTTCCTTTGAAAAGCTTAGACTTTGCTAAGCAGTTTTAAAGTAAGCAATTATATAATGCTATCTGCATACAGAAATACACTACATTCACACAGGCAACCTTAAATTTCTCCAATAAACAGTCATGTCGAAATCTACAGTTTACAGAAAATACAAACTTAGTTTTAACAAAAGCAAAAATGTTCATTGCGATTCAGAAAAACCTGTTTCCTAACATAAATAGTTTGCATTCATAAAGACACTAATGTTGGGACAAAATAAGTATTTCCTAGAAGCTCAAAATGACACGAAGTTTTCTAACAATGAAATGGCATGCAAACGCACTGACTTGTTGTTGGTAATTCTCTCACTTACAAAAGATTTACTAGATCAGAGTAAAGCAGGTACTTTTGCATGTTATACAATGACCTCTCCCTCACACTAAAAACGCCACATACAGAAAATTTTCTCAGCCGTCTTTGACACAAAAGCTGCTTCTGTGAATTTGAGTATTATGCCCTTCAGATCCTCATGACCAGTGCAACAATTAAAAGCTTTCAGAAAGCTTAACAATATCTAAATTTGCCTATTTTCCTTTACAGAAAGTATATACAAGTATATAAATCCATGGCAAGGGCATTAAAACTATATTATATTAACGTCAACTCATTAACTGGATTGAAAAGATACTTGCATTCTGTGAAGACCCTATGGCTGCTGCCCATTCAATAGTTCTATCAAGGCACTGTACAGTCATTAAATCTCTAGTATTCTCCAAGATGTGCTGAAGAATATTGTGAATGTGTTTAAGTTGTTAAAAAGCCCTGAGTCAGAACTTGCGTATTTACCACAGGCTTAGCTATAAAAATGGCACATACTAAAGCTTCTGCAGACAACAGTTTAGCTTTGTCAACACAAACAAGTTATGAAATGCAGAAAAAGACAACAGTATGAATTCCAGCAACTTATGCACAGGTATACAATGTACTTTGTGGCAAATCACACACTGCTATTGTAAGCAATTTACACAGTAATTTTATAAAGTAAAAAAACCTCCGCAATGTATTCAGACATCAAAACTGAAGCAAAAGAAAACTGATGCGTTCCCCATCCCTTCCCAAAGACAACAAACAACTAGAGAAGAATTCAGCACTTTGACAGAAAGGAGGTAGCACTGCTAAAGGTTAGACTGTAGTGTTGTTGGGGTTTGGTTTTATTAAGTGAAAACTTGACCCATGCAGCACAAAGAACAGGATAGGCTCTTCGGTTCACCAGCTGCTACTGGAAGAGTAAAATTAAATTTGACAATTAGTTTTGTAGAGGAAGCTCAGATCACTAGCTGAAAGCAGCTTCTTCAAACAATTTAGTGTTTTTACTAACTGCAGTTAATACTGCTAAAGATAATTACACATACATAAACCTTCATCTCTAGAAAATATCTACACAATAAGTACTTAATTATTTTTAAAAGACCATTTCACGTCTTTAAAAGAAGCTAAACTACCAATTGTAAGACTATACTAACAAGGCACAAGTACTTGTGCAAAACTGCTATATTCTCACCCAGCCCAAGTTAAGAACACCACCTTCTAATCAAACTTTGACATTTACAAAGTAACTTGTTTGCTATCTCACCAGAGTGATGATACAAGTTTTGAGGGGAAAGAAAAGTCAAAGGTAATTATAGAAAAGTCAACAATCTACAACTATTAAGTTTATTCTGTTAACCTCTTAGGCTGCTTTTACACTTAAAATTACTGTGTAGTGAGTGATATGACTGTTTATGTCTCTTAATGAATGGAAAAGTATACTTTAACATCTCAGCATACCTCACACTGAACAATACATGTTAGTTGTTTCAAGAAACAAATGAAGGTATTTCATTCCATTTAATTTTAAAATTGCTATTAAATGCTGGGAAATAGATATAACAAACCTTACAACCCTTACATTCTACAATTTTCAATAAATTAGAGATAAATGCCTTACTGATTTTTCTAATTTTTACTTTGCTCAGGTGAAATTTAGACTTTAATCTTTTGCTGAAGACAGATGAACAGTGATATTTCCTTAACTCTACTACTTGTTATGATCCCCTTTGGCTTTCAAGTGAACTCCTCATCCTTCAAATAGTGCTATCCAATGAAACATTTGCACTCTGTGCACACTGCACAGATAACAAAAGAGTAAAGTGAATGAACTTACTGGGTTCCTCAACAACACCAAGTTCACCTTCTACATGTGAATGCAAAGAGAGAGTCTGAATATAAATATTTATTTCCACAAATGATACCAGATTTGCAACATTTTTCCTAATTAAGTTTTTTGAAAGGCAAACTGTATCGCCATCTCCAGACAAGATACAGCTCTTCCTCTGTCAGTAAGAGACCTATATAAATAATTCAAGTATCTTGGTCAGCTTTCCTAGTTCTTCTAATTCAGTTGTTTTTCTTGGCACTGAAATAGCATCAAGCTGACTTCAGTTTCAACTGGCACACAACATTGCTGAATGAGTCCAAACACAAACTCCTATGCAGTCACAAACATCTGCTGTGATTGCAGCACAGGACACTAAAGCTGCTCCTACAGCGATACCTTCAGTCACTGTCTCCATTTCCATAGGATGTGATGGTATTCAAGTATTGAGGGTACCCAGGATGCTTCACATCTGTTCTAACTCAGCTGAATTACTCAACCCATGCTAAGACAGAACACTTTCGAGTAATTCTGGCTTGTTCAAGCAAAAAATGATTAGGAAAATGCAAACTTGCTATATTGAGGTTCAGTTTTCAGTTGTGTTATCAAGAAGAGATCCATCCTGCACCTGTGCAGACAAGTTTGCAGAGGGCCTCTTGAAGAATTAAGAGGACAAAATATGTCTGCCAGAAACAGAGGAATCAAGGTACAAATCTGATGCATGACAGGCTAAAACTCAGAATAGATTATCAAATGGCACATCCTATTGTAGAAGTATTTCCAGGGGAAGCCTGACAAGAAACTCAAGCCTGCTACAGGAAGTGCAGCTGTCAAACATGCTACCAAAAAAAAAAAACCAAAAAAACAACATAACAAAAACCCCCCAAAAATCCAAAAACCTTAGTGACATGCATATTGGCCAAATTAAAATTGCCATGAACGCTCAGATGCACGCAGAGTTTAAGTGGAGATACCAAAATGCTGAACTGAAAACAGGTCTTACATCAAAAATTTTCCAAAACTCCTTGAAAAATTCTGGTATTTTAGAATAGGAACTAAGAATCAAAAAAAGGGAAGGCTGCTTCATTTGGTTAAGAATACAAATGCAGATTATCTGAGAACAGATGATCACTAGTATACAAAATAAACCAGACTACTACAGTGACTCCAGACTGTGATTGTGTCCAGTGAAAAAACATTTAAAATCATGAGGAACATTTGGAATGTTGGATGAGGATTAAAGACAGCTTTTGTAAGGCTGTATATTACATTACTTCATGGTGTTAAAAGCCACTCTACATACACTTTTCCAATCACTGGAAATTACAAGAAAGTATCACTGTACTTGTTTCCTGGAAAACTTTATTCAGTGTTTAAATCTTATTGCTTAAAGGTTTGTCTGTCTTTACAGGTTATTAGTAACAGTCTTCTGAGATATTTGCCAATATTTGCACAGTTCAGGCATATCAATGTAAGTTTCAGAAGACAGATTGATTTATCTGAAAAGACCACAATTATATCTTTATCCTTACTTGGATCTTTCCCTGAACCATCCTTTTGTCCATATTTTAGACATATACAATGAGAATTCAATGATTAATTCATCTTAGCTGCAAGTAAGGCACCTAAGTGACTCCAGCATGGATTTCTTTAATGTTCTGCAAGAGCATGTCCAAATGAAGTCTGCACAATGGCAAAGGGCTACATGAACTATGCACTCAGAAAACTGTTGAATCACTTAGGAATAAGCACAGATTCCTTATAAGCTACAGATGCTTAAATCAGAGTATTTTCTACCACCAAAAACGATGAAAGGATGCATTTGTTTTCAAAATGTTAACAATTTGCCATCCCTAACAGTAGCATTTTGGGAGTCAAGAGGAATAGCTCTTTATCACATCAGCGACAACAAACTCTTTCAGCCAAATTCAGCTCAACTAGGCACAGCTCACAAAATTCACTGTTCTGACAGCAATACCTTCACTTGCAGTATTACTCAGTAATGCTCATAAATAAGTTCCTCACTTTGATATTCTCTTTTGCTGTTGACACTTTATGTGGAGACAATAAAACTCACTTTAAAAGGAAGGAAATTTTGCAACATCTGTTTTTTCCAAATTCACAGACCCACAATTTTTAAATGGCTCCACATGTATGTGTTGTCTACCCAACAGATCAAATTCACTCATCTAAAAGGGATAGCTGACCCACTGCTCAAATGTTCTCCTTTCCACTCAAGTTAAAAGCAATTCCATGCAAAGTCAAGTAATTAGCAGAATAATGAAGCTCACTACTTAAGTATTTAGCTTGAAACTGGTTAGACTAAAGTGCAGGTTGGAAACATAATGCTTCTAAAACAGATTTTTCTCTTTACTGTTTCCTACACAACCCATCCTCAGGAACAAAGGGCATGATAAAGTCAGAACTACATTAACATTGTGTTCTGAGGTGTGACCTTATGGCCACAGTATGTTTATTACTACTGTGTATATATTCTGTATTGACTTTTAATGACTGTGTATTTCAAGACAGAAATTACTGTGAATCAGAACTGTCACAGGAAATGTCAACACTCTCCAGAAAAGCATAAAGCAAGAAAAAAAAAACAACACCTAAATATTTATGTTTGGTAGTAACTGACAATATAAAAAAAAAATTCCCTTACATCACTTGACATCTGATACGTACATGATACACATGAACAAAAGCAAAGTAAGATTGTCCCTTTAAACTTTAAGGGGAAGAAGAAGACAGAAACAAAATGAAAAAAAGACTGCTTTAAATTAGCATTAGGCTTAGATGCTTTTTAAGAGTAAAGCTACAAGCTGACTGTTCAAATACTGTTTCTTTTATTTGGTGTGTTCACAGTCTTTAAACAATGTCTATGTAACAAACCTGTGCTACAGTATTAGAAATGTTTTCGCCAGAACCCTTCACTGCCTTTTAAACTTACAGAGGTGTAAACCATCAACATGTCCTTACTCTTTCACAACCTAGCAAAGACACTGGCTCCTGTTCAATACAAAAGGATCCTCCGTTCAATTGCCTTGCGGCATATGGGGCACTCGCTCATTCGGTCTCCACAAAGCTGACACGTTCCATGGCCGCACAGAAAGATCATGTTCTTCAGGCGGTCCAAACAGACAGGACACATAGTCTGGAAAAGATTTTGACAGGTTACATAGTCAGTGGTTGTAGTTACACAGTACTAAATATGCAACATATAAATTGCTGAAATTTGACAGTATGTCATCCTAAGCATAGCATTGCCATAGCCACTAAGCTACATTGGGCTTTTTTTTAATTCCATTTTTATTCCACGTTGACTTAAAATATATGGGCTTTTCCTACTCCATCGTGATATAAACTACTACATGGATTTTTTTCTAAATATAATTAGTTTAATTAAGGCAATCCAGTAGTAGGCTGACATCATATTTTTGATATCATTACACAAGTTTGCAACATCAAAACACTGTTCAGAAACATTCTCCTTTACATCATGTAATCTTCCAGGGAACAAAACATAAATAGCTTGATGCATTCAATGCTTGGTAATGATTTACAAATTTCTTCTCAGGCTATCTAGCCCTTCATATACTTACCTGTAAACACCAAGCACCCACAGAAGGAATAAAAATGTTGCATAATCAATATATGTAAAAATTTAGTACTTTATTTGTGAAAGTTATCTAGATTTTCAACCAAAAGAACACCTCAAGTTTCAAATGAAGAATGGTTTAGCAAATCCATAACCTTCACTCATAAAAGCAGCACAGCAAACTTTTAAAATCAGTTTTAATTGCTGAATATGAAGTGATAGTCAGTGCCCAAAGCTGTTCACCAGCAAAATTCATTTTGTACCAAGCACTAAGGAACAATATCCTTCACCTTCTGTCATGTGCAGAAATTGAAGTTTTCATAAGGCATGTTCCTTCACCATAAACATATTGCAGCCATATTAGGATTTCATTTATAACAGTTTATCAAATGTTAGTAAATGAACAGATGTTACAACAGATGAAATTTGTTAAAACCATTCTATAGATCAGATTAAATCAAATCTAAGATATCTTCATAGCTGAGATATACTACATTCATCCAACAATTATAAAGGTTGATCTCATACATAACATGAAATACTGACAAGGCTCATATTTCAAATACAAATTCATTTTATCACCAACTTGCACCTATGACTTGCTTTTGCATTCACCATGGGGGTTTTACCTCAATTTGTTCATCACATGAGAGAGAATCCATACCAAGGTACCCTATTCAGAAAAACACTAAGGCACATTTTTTATGAAATCAATAGGTATTACTTCTTACAGTAGGCAGCTTAATTGAAGAGGAAAAAAAATCACCATATTCTGCTTAAGAGTTGAAATTGGCATGGAATCCAGCCAAATTACTATTTTGATCTCCAAGATACTAGTGTAATGGGCTAGCAGAAAAATAAAACTTTCAGGTAAAGCCTTAAGTCAATTTATGTTTAAAAAAAGCCCTGAAGGGGGCTGTGCTCCAGCTTTGCCAGAATTTCTGCAATACTGTAATAAAACATTCTCCAACTAAAAATTTATAGAAGACTGCCTGTAAGTCAGTCCTGCTCATTTTTCCATTCACACTAAGTCATCCTCTTCTCATCCCACACATCAATGGAACCTTTAGAGTATTCTTCCTTCAGTAATTCACAGACTTCAGCTATCAGTGAAACAGCTATTTCCAATGTAATGAATACACATTAGCTGTGTGATAAGTGTCTATAACTTGACAGCACTGGCATGATCATCTTTCACAAAGGACTGAGAAAGTAAACACTCATCTTTAGGAAATCCCTAATGTGTAGCCTTTATTCTATGTTTTAGCTAATTATTTGCTTTTGTGTCTAAATATAATGTCAGAATGACTGAAGTTACAAGGGTATGCTTCTCTCCAAATGCTACATCATCATTTAAAAATGAAAACATTCATTAAGGGACACAGAAATAATAAAAAACTAAAATCTCTTGAAACACCATTACTTTGAACTGTTTCATTCAATAAAGGACAGAACTCACAACATTCTCAATTCATAGATACATAGTATTAGAAAATACCCCTATTTCTCTTGCTTAGTACAAAAGCAGAGTATATAAAATATATTAGCTATTTAATTTCTTAACATGATACTACCTTAACACTTAAGTTACTTCACACAGTAGGAAGACTCAGCTGACAGAATAATAAGCTTCCTGTTTGCTACATAATTCTCTTCCGACAGGCTTTTCTCAATTAGTTCAGCAGTTTCCCAGTGGAATACAAGCCCACATAACTGAGTTTTATACAACTCTGAAGGAGAATTCCTTACTTAACCACCATCTTACATGTTCTTTTACAGTGAAAGTTCACTGCAAGCCTTATGCCCCATTTGGGAAGTAGAAAATAAGGAGTATCTGTAACTACTGTACTATCTATTGGAACATCCTCCACATGAAATCCCACTTTTTATCTGCCTGAAACATTTGACTTTCATTGTTTGAAGGAAAACAAATAGTTTAAAAAGCCACTTTATGCCTGTTCTATATGAGAATTACTTCTTCAGGTAAGTACTCTGGGAAAGTGCTCATTGCACCTTAAGTAAAACTAGGTTTGCTACTCAAACTTTTTTTCACTAACAAGGTGTTTTAAACTGCTCGAAGTATCAATTCCTCACTATTAAAACCAGTTTTAACAACAATATATAGGTGCACAGTGACAAAATAAATTTATTTTTAAGGAAGAAGACAGTGATGTAAGTATGGTGAAGGAACATACGTAAGGTATTAGACAGATGATGATGACTAGGTATGAAATGGAGTGAAGGTATTGCAATTACAGTCAAAAGGGTTCACATTCAGGGAATCCCTGAAGAATGGTGTGGTCATCAGATGTGGGAGACTCTGTTGACATCAGCATCACTTCTGCTTGGCACCAGAAATAGTTTTAAAAGCTTGCTGCACTAACATATTAGATTATCATTGAAGGTATGAGTTGAAACAAAGGCTTATACCTGCTGAAAGAGAACAAATTAATTTTAAGTAGAAAAAAAAACCAAAACTGAACACAAAGACTGAACTGTTACAGCACAAATCAAAAGATAACACAATTATAGCGGAATGCTGGGCATAACTTCAACCACAAATTTAAAAGATGAGATGATCAATTTTAATCAAATCCGACTTGCTATTCACAAGTATGATACAACTTGCCCTGTCATAAGACTAAGCACAAAAGACAGTAAAGAAAACACAAGAGTTTTGAGCCAAAAGGCACACAAGGAATGACCAGAACCATCTCTTTCTAGTCAGAGGCACTGAACAATTCTGGTAAATTCTGCTGGCAGGCAAAATCCCAAACGTTAGATAACATCATAGAGAATAAAATAGCACCTAAGGAAAACTGACAAAAAAAACCCCTGAGATCACATCTAATCAAGAAGACAAACTGTAACATAAAGCAGTTTTCTTCTCATGTGCCTACATAAGAATATCAGCATACCCAAACAGAACTCTAATTTTCCGTAACTCCTGAAGTACCCTGAAAAAATATATCTGAAGAATACAGACTACATGCATTTAAGCATGCATCTGGCATCTTTTGCAGGTATCATTTCAAAAGCCAAAACAATAACCTTATTCTTTCCATTCAATGCTAAAATGTAAAGCAGAAGCTAAACAGTGGATGCAAGACATTAGAGATGACAGTAACATTTGGAGTTTCTGGATAAGACAGACATGCATTTTCAAATCACAATATTCAGTCTGCATGTTCTTTACAGGTAAAAACTACATGGGAAACTGTTTTGAATTTCTGTTACTGGGGTGCTGTCCCAGTCACCATATGACAGGAACAGCTCTTCACAGACATTTATTTGACCATGTCAGATCTCAAATTTAAGGCATTTAGAAACACAGGCCCTAAAACCAGCAATCTAACCATTCTAGCCCTGGCTTTCATGCACATGAACAGCTGAATCCACAACTACCAGGACTAGATGTGATGCTGCTATCACTGAAGTATTATGGACTGCTTTAAGCCTACTAGAGGAAAGGGCAAGCTAGAACACCTCAGTTTCCTGTATCCTTAAAAAGTTTATTCCAACTGTGTTAGACACATGGAAGCAAAAAGCCACACTGTCAGGGCTCTAAGAGAGTAAGCTCATTCATTAGCCAGATGCTCCAGATCTCTTACTGCTGAAAGATCTGGTAAGACTATACCTAATTACAAAGATAAACCTTAATTTAAATTCAGAACAGTGAAGATGATCTACTTTTATGACTTTTCTGTGAAAACAGCTTCTGCTGTAACTACACATTCAGGTGAGCTAAACAGTCAGAGAATGTACTGACTGGGCAGAGCACACTTATTTAGCCACATCAATACACATGCTCTAATAGATGGATTATCAAACATGGCCACTTGATTTTTTTCTTTTAAACTGTACATCTAGGACATAAAGCCACAAAAAAACATTGATCTTTTAACTAAAGTTTAAGACATTATGCACTTCAATGATATTTTGTTTTAAATAATAGAGGATGCATTAGCTTTTTCAATCAAGTGGTTGCGGCACTTAGTGGTCCTTACAATTTTTATCCAGCACCTTTACCTGTTCCTTGATGTCTTGCAACTGTTGCTGCAGCTTCTGTACATCCGCATTGACATTAGTGTTGTCTTTGTCCTTCTGCAAAACTGGAATGTTTCCACTTGCTGTAACATTAAAAGAAAATAAAGATACTTGATTATGCAGCAATCTAATGAATCAGGAATAATTATTTCCAGTGTCACAGCAACAATTTTTCGATTACCTGAAAAAGTTAATCAACCATCTTTTGATAATCTAATTCAATTCACTACACCATCACTGCAGCTCAACAAAAGAGTTTCTTTGAGTTTAGTGGCAACACTTCTTTGACAATTATTTCCATAATAATGATGCCCCTTCATGTTCTCAGAATTCTTATTGACATAAATATTTTTGCACATATTTAAAGAAAAAAAAAAAAGCCAAATTCCTTCACACTGAAATGACTTTTTCATCTATAGAGATGATTCTATTTGGTGGTCAAAATTGCCCAAGTGTCTTGGAAATAGTTTGTTCAAAATTTGAAGAAGCTCAGATTAATATTCCTGTATTTGTCTGATCTGGAAAGCAATATTACTATATGAAAAAAAATTGTCAAGTCTTAAATTTCCAGTGTGAGTATTGAAAACCTGATTTTAATTACTATTCTTATATTTATCTATTTCAGAACATAAAGAGAAGAATAAATTAATATTCCAATTCCCATAAACTCAAACAAAATGCTGTATACCACATATATACACACAGAGGAAATACAAATAATTCATAGAAATTACTCAAGTAAGTCACAAATAGTTTAAAAACCAGTCAAAGAAGGAGATGTAAAATTGGACATTCTCTCAGGAAAGTTGCTTGTACCTAGATGCAAAATACTTACCATTCCTCCAGAGTACCAGAGGTAAAAAAATATAAATTCTTTGCTCATTTGCCCCATCTCAGACTATCTTCAGCTTTTACCTCTTAAGGCATTAGTAAGTGGACAAGTCATGACACATATTTTGGGTATTACTCTGAATGCTGGAAGCAACTCTCCAGTGTAATGACTGGTGGTGTTACCAAGTTTGCTGCTACCGATGCAGAAAGTCGTGCAAACAGCAAAGGGATACCTGGGTTAACACTGCTTGCATTAAACTTTTCTTCAGAGAGAAGAGAAATATTTAGATCATTTAAGAGAATGAGAATAAGTTGGTGGAGGAACATGAGAGAGTATGGGCTCTGGAGTCACTCACAAATATCATCACTGGTATCTTCTGTACCTTTCCCTCCGCAGCACATTATGAAAGGCACTCTTCGCTCAACCACTGCCCGACACTGTACACACTTCTTCATCAAGCTTGCACAATCTGAGGGAACAGAGAAATAAATCAACTCTGAATCTTCCCATTTCATTTTTCTTTTTTTCTATCCATGAGTTTGTTTATTCGGAGTATACAGCAATGACTCAACAGATGCTTATAATACAAAGAACTACTTGAGTTTATCTTCACATAATTTTCTGCAAATCACACCTAAACAATGTCCTGTTTGTGATTCAAAGTAAATCTATTCTCTATCTCCTTTTAAGATACTTCAAGTGAATAAGTTCCTCTTTCTCCAAATGGATGTCTAGTCCACAAAAGTTACAGAAGTTAAAAGGTAATCAGACATTTGAGACCAGAACTTCCAAGAAAGTCCTGGCTATCTGTTTTTTTCTTTAGAACACAGGATCTCACAAACGGTCCCAATGCTCCAGGGGCAAAGAGGTGCAGGTCTTTACCCCTACAAGTAAACCTACATTTTTTGATATAATTCTAGAAAGAGGGCCGTAATTTTTCTACTGAAGGCAAGTTACTGTCACATAAATGCTAAAAGGCTACTATGAATCAAGAGAGTGAATCCTATAAAATACACAAACTCCAAGACTCTCTTGTCCTGCTTGAACAAGATGTCCAGAAAAAAAACTGGGAAAGAAAACATCTACAGCTTTAATCCTTTTGCTGTCCTTGTTACAGCTTAGACTTGGTAACATGTACTGCGCTGCTGAAATCCTTCACCACAGTAATGAATCTTTTTGTTGTCTTCTTTCCTGGGAAACAATTCAAAAAACCTTCTTTCATCATCTTTCAACTGCAGACACTGAAAGAGGCCAGATCAGGCTAACTATAATCAGTGATTCGACATCAGCTGCCTCAGCCACAACAGAGGAAGAAACCAGACTTTTTCAGCAAGTCCAAGTAAGCAGTTACTCATGGAAATTATTACCTCCCCTCTTATGTAGATGCGCATCAATAAGGACTGTTCTTCTATAGGGAAATGACCCTTCAACAAAGCCCTGAAATGTCTGGAGACAAGGTGATAGCTGCATTCTCATCCATATATACTCAAAACCAAAAAAAAAAATCTGGAGATCTCCTATGTATTTTTTCACTACATAGGATAAATCAAAATGAACCATAACTGGTGCCCTTCACAAAGATATATGATGTGACTTTTGGGGGAAAATAGAGCCCTTGTGAAAATCTGTAGATTAATAATAAAGCAGAGTAAGTACTTATTTATAATATTTTTTTAAAACACCATCTGTATATCTGAATGCTTTCAAAAAGCTGCAACAAAACAACAAAACTAATTCTAATTACTTCCAAAGTGCTCACAATACTGTAGTAGGCTTGCTTCCATAATATGAGAAAGCCTACTCACATAATTCAGATGAAAGCACACACGCTTTCTAAATTTTTGAAAATCTCCACTTTGTCTCCCAATTATTATCACCATGACAAATAATGCCAAAATTCTGACAATCACACCAAGTAAACTGAACCTGAAATCAGATTACTGATGACCTTTTAGTAATGGGATTAAAAGCATTCTGTTTCATGAGTATTTCAAAAAGAGATTTTGTAAAGTTACTTACTCTCACAGGCACACATATGACCACATGGCTGGAAGAGCACCGCTGCCTTTTTGTCTGAACATACTACGCATTCTTCAATCTGTTAAGAACAACATATACATGTGAGCAAAGTATCTCCTGCTCTCTACATTACTTTGCAAGGCATGTGGGCTTCAAGAATCTCCATCTAGTGGGGTTTTTAACTAATTCAGCATATCAATATGCAACTTAAATGAGTTATCACGCTAACTTCTAATAACAGATATTTGCTGGCAGTTTTTATACATTCAGTACAATGACAGGAACAGAGAAGCAGTTAGGACAGCATAAATTTATTTTTCTTTTTTCTTTTCTCCTTCTTTATTCCATCACAGATACTTAAATCAGGGTTGATCAGCCTGGAGGTCTCCAAGAAGACATTATTACAGCCTTTCTGTAATTAAAAGTGCCTTTTAAGCATGATGGGAACAAACTTTTATGCTGGCCCTGTTGCAATAGTACAGGGAGTAATAGTTCTAGACTAAAAGCAAGCCAATTTGGACTAGACATAAGAAATAAATTTTTTATGATGAAGGTCATGAAACACTGAAACAGGTTACCCAGAGTGGTGGTAGATGATCCATCCCTGGAAACATTCAAGGTCAGGCTGGACAGGGATCTGAGCAACCTAATCTCATTGAAGATGTCCGTGCTCACTGCATTGCATTCTATGTCAGTTTACATAACTGATTTCAAAGGCCCCTTCCAACATTCTATGATCCGATGAAATTCACTTAAAAGGTACTTTTACAGAAATGTTCTGCGTCAGGGTTTCTCAAGTCCTTTTAAGTGAGAGCTGTATATATCATGGAATCATCGAATGGATTGAAAAGGACCTTAAAGATTCTCGAGTTCCAGCCCTTGCCATGGGCAGGGACACCTTCCACTAGACCAGATTACTGATGGCCACATCAAACCCGGCCTTAAACACTTCCAGGGATGGGGCATATGCAGTATGGTCATAGTTATCACATACAATTCCATTTATACAGGCCTAGGCCAACTCTTCCAGTTGATAGAACTGTTGTCCTGATTTAATCATTTCTTAGCCTTGCAGATACTACTGCAAGTTTTTATACAGAAAAGTACAATAAGTAGAAGTATATACAGTACAAGAAGTATTGACCAGATATTCCAATCTCTCAAATTAATTCAGCAAAAGAAATCAAAGCAAGGTTATCCACAAAGCTTAGCTTTCACCTGGGAAAGCTGATTTCCTTAGATTAGCTTCTTCAGATGGATGAGTAGGGGCAGAACCCTCACTTTGCTGCTCCAAATCACCCAGTGGCAGAACCCTTTAATTGACTATAAAGAAAATCTAGAGAAAAGAAGCTCCCCACTATATTAACATTTGGCTTTTGAACATACACAATGCAGTACAGTGAATAGTATAAGAAGAATAAGAGAGTGAATAGAATAACCAGTGCAACTTTATATTTACAATTCTTATACTTACTCTGAGATGGAGGGAAAAACAACATACCATAGAAGCAGACCAATCAAATATGTTTGGAGAAAGTAAAAAAAAAAAAACAAAACCAGTTTGGTTTCCTAAAAAAACCCAACCAAACAAAAAAAAAGCCCAAAGCCAATCCAAAACCAAACATAAATCCAAGCGCAGAACATGATTTCTCTTTTTAACAGCTAAAAGAAACCAGAACTAGTCTTAGTAATTACAAGGAAAAAATAAAACAGAAAAGCAAGAGGATGTACCCATATAGTCAAAACTATTTGGGAGTAACCATTTGAGAAACCTTGGTTTCCAAAATAGGGCATGACTGGTTGATTCTCTGAAGGAAAAAGACAACGTAATGAAAAGAAATACATAATGAACGTCTTTCCATAGAAAAAGAAGGTGAAAGCTGAAAATAATTATTAACTACACAAACAAGCACATATTAACTCAGTTTACAGGCAAATCATCTTTCAAGCAGTCCTAAGGAATAGAAGAACTCAGTATTACTGAGGGAAATTATACTTCAGAAAAAGCAGCAATTTATCTTAACATGAAGAAAAGANTCAAGCTTGCACAATCTGAGGGAACAGAGAAATAAATCAACTCTGAATCTTCCCATTTCATTTTTCTTTTTTTCTATCCAAGAGTTTGTTTATTCAGAGTATACAGCAATGACTCAACAGATGCTTATAATACAAAGAACTACTTGAGTTTATCTTCACATAATTTTCTGCAAATCACACCTAAACAATGTCCTGTTTGTGATTCAAAGTAAATCTATTCTCTATCTCCTTTTAAGATACTTCAAGTGAATAAGTTCCTCTTTCTCCAAATGGATGTCTAGTCCACAAGAGTTACAGAAGTTAAAAGGTAATCAGACATTTGAGACCAGAACTTCCAAGAAAGTCCTGGCTATCTGTTTTTTTCTTTAGAACACAGGATCTCACAAACGGTCCCAATGCTCCAGGGGCAAAGAGGTGCAGGTCTTTACCCCTACAAGTAAACCTACATTTTTTGATATAATTCTAGAAAGAGGGCCGTAATTTTTCTACTGAAGGCAAGTTACTGTCACATAAATGCTAAAAGGCTACTATGAATCAAGAGAGTGAATCCTATAAAATACACAAACTCCAAGACTCTCTTGTCCTGCTTGAACAAGATGTCCAGAAAAAAAACTGGGAAAGAAAACATCTACAGCTTTAAACCTTTTGCTGTCCTTGTTACAGCTTAGACTTGGTAACATGTACTGCGTTGCTGAAATCCTTCACCACAGTAATCAATCTTTTTGTTGTCTTCTTTCCTGGGAAACAATTCAAAAAACCTTCTTTCATCATCTTTCAACTGCAGACAGTGAAAGAGGCCAGATCAGGCTAACTATCATCAGTGATTTGACATCAGCTGCCTCAGCCACAACAGAGGAAGAAACCAGACTTTTTCAGCAAGTCCAAGTAAGCAGTTACTCATGGAAATTATTACCTTCCCTCTTATGTAGATGCGCATCAATAAGGACTGTTCTATAGGGAAATGACCCTTCAACAAAGCCCTGAAATGTCTGGAGACAAGGTGATAGCTGCATTCTCATCCATATATACTCAAAACCAAAAAAAAAATCTGGAGATCTCCTATGTATTTTTTCACTACATAGGATAAATCAAAATGAACCATAACTGGTGCCCTTTGCAAAGATATATGATGTGACTTTTGGGGGAAAATAGAGCCCTTGTGAAAATCTGTAGATTAATAATAAAGCAGAGTAAGTACTTATTTATAATATTTTTTTAAAACACCATCTGTATATCTGAATGCTTTCAAAAAGCTGCAACAAAACAACAAAACTAATTCTAATTACTTCCAAAGTGCTCACAATACTGTAGTAGGCTTGCTTCCATAATATGAGAAAGCCTACTCACATAATTCAGATGAAAGCACACACGCTTTCTAAATTTTTGAAATTCTCCACTTTGTCTCCCAATTATTATCACCATGACAAATAATGCCAAAATTCTGACAATCACACCAAGTAAACTGAACCTGAAATCAGATTACTGATGACCTTTTAGTAATGGGATTAAAAGCATTCTGTTTCATGAGTATTTCAAAAAGAGATTTTGTAAAGTTACTTACTCTCACAGGCACACATATGACCACATGGCTGGAAGAGCACCGCTGCCTTTTTGTCTGAACATACTACGCATTCTTCAATCTGTTAAGAACAACATATACATGTGAGCATACATTCAGTACAATGACAGGAACAGAGAAGCAGTTAGGACAGCATAAATTTATTTTTCTTTTTTCTTTTCTCCTTCTTTATTCCATCACAGATACTTAAATCAGGGTTGATCAGCCTGGAGAAGAGGTCTCCAAGAAGACATTATTACAGCCTTTCTGTAATTAAAAGTGCCTTTTAAGAATGATGGGAACAAACTTTTATGCTGGGCCTGCTGCAATAGTACAGGGAGTAATAGTTCTAGACTAAAAGAAAGCCAATTTGGACTAGACATAAGAAATAAATTTTTTGTGATGAAGGTCATGAAACACTGAAACAGGTTACCCAGAGTGGTGGTAGATGATCCATCCCTGGAAACATTCAAGGTCAGGCTGGACAGGGATCTGAGCAACCTAATCTCATTGAAGATGTCCCTGCTCACTGCATTGCATTCTATGTCAGTTACATAACTGATTTTAAAGGCCCCTTCCAACATTCTATGATCCGATGAAATTCACTTAAAAGGTACTTTTACAGAAATGTTCTGCGTCAGGGTTTCTCAAGTCCTTTTAAGTGAGAGCTGTATATATCATGGAATCATCGAATGGATTGAAAAGGACCTTAAAGATTCTCGAGTTCCAGCCCTTGCCATGGGCAGGGACACCTTCCACTAGACCAGATTACTGATGGCCACATCAAACCCGGCCTTAAACACTTCCAGGGATGGGGCATATGCAGTATGGTCATAGTTATCACATACAATTCCATTTATACAGGCCTAGGCCAACTCTTCCAGTTGATAGAACTGTTGTCCTGATTTAATCATTTCTTAGCCTTGCAGATACTACTGCAAGTTTTTATACAGAAAAGTACAATAAGTAGAAGTATATACAGTACAAGAAGTATTGACCAGATATTCCAATCTCTCAAATTAATTCAGCAAAAGAAATCAAAGCAAGGTTATCCACAAAGCTTAGCTTTCACCTGGGAAAGCTGATTTCCTTAGATTAGCTTCTTCAGATGGATGAGTAGGGGCAGAACCCTCACTTTGCTGCTCCAAATCACCCAGTGGCAGAACCCTTTAATTGACTATAAAGAAAATCTAGAGAAAAGAAGCTCCCCACTATATTAACATTTGGCTTTTGAACATACACAATGCAGTACAGTGAATAGTATAAGAAGAATAAGAGAGTGAATAGAATAACCAGTGCAACTTTATATTTACAATTCTTATACTTACTCTGAGATGGAGGGAAAAACAACATACCATAGAAGCAGACCAATCAAATATGTTTGGAGAAAGTAAAAAAAAAAAAACAAAACCAGTTTGGTTTCCTAAAAAAACCCAACCAAACAAAAAAAAAGCCCAAAGCCAATCCAAAACCAAACATAAATCCAAGCGCAGAACATGATTTCTCTTTTTAACAGCTAAAAGAAACCAGAACTAGTCTTAGTAATTACAAGGAAAAAATAAAACAGAAAAGCAAGAGGATGTACCCATATAGTCAAAACTATTTGGGAGTAACCATTTGAGAAACCTTGGTTTCCAAAATAGGGCATGACTGGTTGATTCTCTGAAGGAAAAAGACAACGTAATGAAAAGAAATACATAATGAACGTCTTTCCATAGAAAAAGAAGGTGAAAGCTGAAAATAATTATTAACTACACAAACAAGCACATATTAACTCAGTTTACAGGCAAATCATCTTTCAAGCAGTCCTAAGGAATAGAAGAACTCAGTATTACTGAGGGAAATTATACTTCAGAAAAAGCAGCAATTTATCTTAACATGAAGAAAAGATACCATGGTAGGGGAAAATAGTCTATTTCAATAAAGCATCCTCAGGTGACTGTATTAGGAACTCTGAGGACCTGAACAATAAAGACATTGCAAGGCAGGGAGAGGTAGGTATGACAGGCAAACAGAAAAGAGCAAGATATCATTATGATGCAAAATTAATTCCATCCAGTGAGACATGTGTAAGGCATAATACCACATAAAAGAAGATATATATTTCTTTAACCTCTCTTTTTTCCTTTTTTTCTTTTACTTTTCCATTATAAAAGAAAAAATAAATTTCAGAGGCTTTTACCTTTGTTCTAGACTGAACTTGTTCTTTACAGATGAGGCATTTTTTCACTCGTGGTGAGCACAAAGAACACGTGGCAATGTGGCCACATGGGCCAAACAGAGTATCTCTCTTCATGTCTGAACACACCATGCATTCTTCTAAGGTTTCAGAATCATTGTTGATCATAGACGGACTTCGGGAACCAACCTGGCCACTACAAAGAAACCTTGCAGTCAAACTTATAAGAATAAAAAAAACCCACTTAATTTAAAATACACATCAACTGGCCACTTATATACTCCAATGCACTCAGGCATCAATGTATGACCATAAAGCAATCTGAACCGCCTTTTCCAAGAATTACAGCTGACAATGGACTGCAAGGTCGCACACTCGGAGAAGGCACTGTATAGAAACAGGACACACAAGTCAGGATATTCTGTCGTGAATAAAAAGTCCCTTCCCCTCGTCCTAAGAGCTTGCTTTAGTAGCAGAGACGTGCCCTGTGATTCTGATGGGCACACGCAGCCCCTGGGCCTCGCCCGTCCCACGGCCGGCAGTGCCGCACACCGGGCCGGAGCCCCGCGCTGCGCTGCCCGCAGAGGGCGTGCGAGCCCAGCCTTACACACACACACACACACACTGACTCCGAAAGGAAGAATCTTACTCCTCACCAGGGCAACATCAATAAAAACAGCCTCTCTTTGTCACATTTTAAAAGTACGGTTTTGATTTCCATACAGGAATTAAGGATAAGAATCATTTGCAGCAACAGCAGTGGAACATAACTAGGACAAGGTGAATCATCTGATACTGCACGGACCTGATAACATGATATTTCACTGAAACCGTAATTCCTAAACCCACCCCCTCGCTCTCTTTACACGGAACATACCGTTGTTCAGATTAACAGATACTCAGTGAGTTGAGAGGTGACCTTCACAAAGCAGCATCAACACTGAATTTGTATCAGTTTATACTGGGCTTTGCCCATTTCAGTCATTAAAAGTTGTCTGGACAGAGATTTCACAACTTCCCAGGCTGACCTGTTTGCAACGCTTTGTTATTTACTCTTCCAGGGATTTTCTCCCAAACCCTCTTGTGAAGTTCTACTAACCTCCACCTGAAGACTATCACCTTCTCATTCTCCCCTCTCCCATACTAATATGCATGGAAGTCCTCTAAGACTCGGGTAAATTTCAATTAATGTATTTGTGAATAGCATTCAGTGTACCATAAAAACCCGAAGAATTAAAAGGAAAAAAAACCACAAAAAACACATACAAAAAACCCCACCAGACCCCCAGATTCGTATGTTCTCATTAACTATTGCTAATTAAAGGCTCGACATTTTAAATTAATCAGTTAATCTGTGGAAAGCAGAGATTTGGAAACTATGTATTTTATGAATATACAAACCTGACTTTTTCTTTGTGACATTTAGCCAATGCTTTACAGAGACTTGGATCAGGGCAGAGATCAAGAGGGGACTGACCCTTCTTGTTACGAATGCCGAGGTCAGCCCCGTTGGCTGCCAGGAAGCAGGCAATAGATGCAGCACTCTTCTTCTCTGCTCCTTGAGTGCCAAGACCCATTATTAACTAAAAGAAAACAAATACGTAAGCAAGAAAGATTCTCTAAACAGTTAAGAATCATCTGGCTAAAGGAAAGCTACTTGATTTGTGCACATGCACATATATGCATAAACATGTAAGCCCAAGGAAACATCTCTAGAACTAAAATCAAAACAATTGCTTCATTTTGAGTCAGCTATATTCAGTTTTCCTCTAGGGAACTAAATTCAGCAAGGAATTGTTCAGCTACTGAAGCACTCAATCCCCTGCACACCTACACTCACATGTGAAGTGGCTGTCCTTCTATGTAAGCACTGTAAAGGGCAAAGTTCCAGTGGGTATATTCAGAACACGCTTCAGTATATACTCAAATTGCTAAGTTCAGACAAAATGCTACCACCACACCTGGACTGAAAACAGTTGAGCAGGGAAATGAATGCACATCTACTTTTTGTCCAGCAAGTAAGTACCTGCCCAACAAATTAACTCAATTTCAGTCTCAGCCTGGATGGATTAAAACACACACACGTCTAATCACATAATGCTACTTTGCCCTTTTACAGCTGTTACATATCCTCATGTTACTGCTTCACAGGGTCAGCTAGAAACACTAGGAAGGCTCGCCACCACAGCCCAGCAAGGAGCAGTCCCCTACTCCAGAGCAGATGGCTTGCTCCCAAAATCTTTTTTGTATTAAAGTTCAGTCAGATAAAATGCTTTAAGTATAACACAGAACTGTTGGCATCACTAAGAATCCCTCAGCAAACTACACTACACTTTATTCAAAGCAAGAGCTTTGGCAAAGCTAGGGCAGCTCCAACTCAAGGAAATCCAGTTGCTTAAGGAAGCATTTTTTTAAACCTCAGTCTGTACATTTTTTTTAAATTAGAAGTTCTTTTATCAATATGTATCACTGAGACTACAAGACTACTGAAGGTCACAATGAATTCAGATACTCCTCCTGCATTCTTACTCATGATTAGGTAAGAGCAGTAGAGCTGCAAAGGCTTTATACCAGGAAAATCAGTAAGTTATGGAAACGAATTGTTTCATGGTGTTCAGATAACAGAAAATTTTAATTTATCAATTGAGGCCATTTTTCTGCACTTCAATTACAGCATTGGCTGAAGCAAAACAGAGATTTCACTCAGCTTCAGCCCTGGTACTTTGGACCGCACTACTAATCCAGCCAACATTAAGACAGCACAACACCCAGTGAAACTGATGTGCTCCAGGGTTGGCAGTGTTATCACGGAATGGTCATCTACACTGGTCACAAAAACCCTAGGTTCTAAAATGCCTCTGGCAGGCTGAACAATTTGAAAACACCAGGACAACATTGTATTCTATGACATTTCTCAATAAGCATGCAACTTTTCAGGCACAAAGAATGAGAATACCACAAAACAGCACAGGCACAAAATATTCTCCATTATGATGTCTTAGTGCCCAGTATGGCTGCAGCAAATTATCTCTGGAGGGGGCTAACCCTCAAACACATCAACACAGTCCAGTCCCAGCCAATTCACTACTCTCAATTTAATCCATGAAAACTGTATAAATATAATCTAAGTAATTGTAACTAGTAAGCTACCTTTGAAGCAGTAAACACTTTCCCATTAGTTTCTTTCTTTTAAGTTAGGATTTAGGCAGTGGCATCCATTAAAAGCATTTTAAAGGTCAGAAAGACACTTATATTAAAATAAATTACACAGAATGACCCTGGGAATATTACATTTATTTAGGATAAATAAATGTGTACTCTAGGCCAGAACAGTGCATCTGTAATCAAGTAATTCAAATGACATTTTTGTGGTGGTAGAGACTATACTTCAGAAAATTTCTCCTCCCAGCAGCACAATCACAACAATATGCTGGATGGAAAACTTGAAAATGATTTAAAGAAATGGGGTTCACTTCTCATAGCACCTGAGCACAAAAATGTTTTTCAGAGTGGTACCTAAAATGACTAGGGCTTTGTGTACTATCAAGATTGTTAACTACATCCATTTTAAATAGCCTATCAAAAAACCAACCTAAGAAACCTGACAAAAATTGTTTTAGATGTAAAATAGAATATCCTGAGTTAGAAGGAATTCACAAGGATCATCAAGTTCAACTCCTGCCCCTGCAGAGGACAGCCCTAGGATTTGCACCAGGTGCCTGAGATCATTGTCCAAAAGCTTCTTGAACTCTGGCAGGCTTGGCGCTGTGACCACTTCCCTGGGGAGCCTGTTCCAACAGGCGTAACGTTTGCAATCACAAGGAACTACTAAAAAAAAAAAATTATTAAAGAATTCATTCCATTTAGTTCCATTTATGAAGTAAATTAATGATAATCAGTAAAATGTATTGTTTCATATTTTAAACAGTGGTCAAAGTAAAAAGTAACAAATCATACAATTTCAGTGAGTTGCTGTCCAACCAACTTGATCAGTATGGAAAAGCTCTAAAATCCTGCAGATGAAACTTTTCAGTTTATTACTAAAACAAAAATAGAAATAATTATTTGTTCAAGTACCAAAGAGGCACCCTACAGGCCTCAGTAGGTTGGAATCTCCAAGACAGCAGTCCAAAATTAATTAAAATAGAGCCAAGCAAAAATGAGCTCTAAAATACTAAGTACTTACAGAGATGTGTTGCTATCACTTAGCCTAATGAAATCTGACACACTTCCCACCTTTAAAGGAATTAATGAAGTATAATAAAAAAAATCTCCCTAAACAAACCTTCAATTTAAGTAACCACATTTACAAAAAGAAAGCCTTACTGATTCCCAGGCTAAATTATTAATCCAATTTATCTTCTATTATCTATCACTTGTATTTGCAATTCCAAACAAGACAAATTACCAATGTGTCCTTGGGTAGCTTTAAAGGTCCAGATGCCTGCACATTTTTTCACAGCTTCAATTCTGTCTTTGTTGATATTCAATTTTGAGTCAAAGGCAGCTTAATATTTAAAACTGTTTAATGGTAAAGTCTAGTTTATAGATTTTTGACCTTACCGCCATTTAAATAAAGCTACATAGGTACAAGTACTGTTCTTATTTACTGTTTTTCACAAAAAAAACCCCAGTTTGATTTGGTTTGATTTGCTGATCATCGTAAAGCATTTTCAGCTATATTTACTCCATCTTTTACATTTCACATAAAACGAAAAAAAGCAAGTTTTCATCTCTGACAGAACTTATCTTCTCCACACCACTTAAACCTCCCAAATTTGTTAGTTTGGTAAAAATTTTCTCTGCAGCTAAACAAAGCGCAAAGAAATGACCAATAGTTTGATCATGCTGAGAAAGGAGAGGAAGTATTGGTTGATCATACTTTTTTTAAAACTTTAAAACATTTTTAGGTGATCAGAGATACAATGATGAGGGAATTTTTTTTTCTTTGCTTCTCATGCTATCTTTTGCCTGCTCTTTATTTCCATGGAATTTTTTTTTAAAATTACACTTTTGGTTTAAACCAAGGACACTTGTCAAATAAAACTAGAAATAAAACTTAATTCTCTAATATGTCAAATCCCCCCAATGAGAAAGTTAAAGGGTGATGGGGAAAAAAACCCCACTTCTTCTGTTAAAACCCTCAAAACTCAATACACAACTCTAGTTTCATTGTGGATGCCATTAATAAAACTGGGCAGAGAAACCAATTTATGAAATGCTGTATCTGTGGAAAAAAAAATCTCCCTTTCATTCATTCCACAGTTAAACACATGAACGCAAAGTATTCCAGACAGCTCTCACAGAGTCCATTTCAGATCACGGAAACAACTGAGCTGTAACCGCTCTTCTTGTCTCATTTCAAAGGACACATGCGTTTTCTCTATACATGCTAGTCATACTTCAAATCTCTTTCAAAGCTTATTCCAGTGTACTTCAGTGAGCTTAAGTAACCAATCTGAAAAAAAATTTTTTACAGTGGAATTATTGTTTTGAACAAAGACTTATTCATAAAGTTGGTGTATTTGTCTTTTCTAAATGAAATGCAAAAACAACAACAACAAAAATTTCTTATTTTAACCCACAGTTGAAATTAGAAAAAAATTATACTGGTAACTAATGGTTTAGCAGATCTGATCCATCAGTATGTTGTGCATCTTTAATACCAAAAAAAAAAAAAAAAAGTTTATTTTTCTCAATCTGAATTGCTCCATAATTATATTTCTCCTTTGTTTCTCAGGCAAACTATAAAGTCACCTTTCATAAAGGGTTCACACAGATTTCTGGGTGTGAGAGGTTTTTTTTTCAGTAGAACATTTTTATTATCTGGAGGCTTTTAAACTATTTCCTTACTACAGCACAATTTCTGAAATGAACTCTGTCAAAAATACACATATCAATAAACATACAAAATTATGAATGCCTTGTTCTAGCAGAACATACTTTTAGAAAGGTATAGAAGCAACTAGGCAATTAAAGCTATGAAAACATGCAAGATGCTGAATCACAGAAAACTATTTCAGTCTTATTCTGTACTGTAATACAGTTTAATTCTTTTTTCAAAAGAGCTAAACTTTGATTTTTTTGGCAGCCATACGTGTTCACTATAGAAGAGAAATTTGTAAAAATATTTTTTGAGCTACATAACCCTCTTTTTATTCAAAAAAGGCAATGGCTGCACATGAAAAGTCACATATAACAATATGATTTGTGCCTGCACTGCAATTTAATGCAGAATGTCTATATAAACTCATGCTGCCAAAAACCAGTCCAACAGTACAGAACTAGACAAAGAGACACTTATACAGGGGGAAAAAGAGAATAAATAAATAAATGTGTTTTATTTACTGTGTTCTTTGATGGCTCCCAAGCAGTATCTACCTTGCCCACATCTTGCATGTCTTGGAGTTGGCGGAGCTGCGACAGGGTGTGGTGTCTCAGGGCTTCATGCAGGGGAGTATCCCCATCTTTATCCTGAATATCCAATTTAGCACCTGCACGGACTAAGAGCTGGAAAGAGAGAGAACCCACATTAAGAAAAAAACAAACAAAAAACCTCCCTATTTATTCCTTTTAGAAATAGTTTCATAAAATTACAGTTTATGATTCTCTAGGAGGCTCAAACGGGCTACTTCCTATCTTGCTACAATTCACATCTGAATTAATTTAAATTTATTTTCCATACCTGGAGCTCAGCCCTCAACCAAAGCATTTATCTGTCTCAAGCATCAAGCTTATTTCAGCAGAAGGCTAATGCCTGCCTGGGCTCTGAGTGCTACGAAAGATACAATTTTAGGGAATTCTTTCTACTTCCTTAGCCTTTAATTCTTGTAAGACAGCCTACAAACAATGTAATATATTACAGCAGTATGTGCAATACTTAAGATAGGTATATATTCTTAACTATTAGATTTCAATGACCTCAAAAATCACCACTTTCACACCATGCTGAACTTTAAAACTTAATTTACAGTGTCTTTGCATTAGCAAAGTAGTTAAGCATGTACTTCAGTTTACCCTAATTCAGGAGAAGACATAAAAACCAATGACACTATTAAAACCTCTCTCAGAACACTTTGGAAAGTAATGAACCATAAGACTTGTCTCTAAAGCTAATTTTAGACACCCGTTCCTGTTCACATGACACAAAACAAGCACAAGGCTGCACAGGCCCTCCTATTCCTATGGCCTTTGCATACAGCCCTTCCATAATTCAAGCCACCAGAACTTCGTTAAATATGCTGTTGAACAAATCAATCAATACATGCTGACAAAATAATACTAACTGTCCCTGAAAATTAAACCCTGTCACTGTCACCATTCAGAAACCTGCAGGCAGCAGTTGAGGTTTTAACTTCAGTTTTTGAGCTTCTGCTACTCTGCAAAACTGGGATCAGCAGCAGAGACAAAAGGCATAATCTAAAAACAGGAATACACAAAGAGTGATCTCCCTCTTTAGAATTCACATGCTTGCAAGGAGCTCAGTTTCTCAGAACCAAAGAACCTCAGACTGCAGAACTGGCTAAAAGGAAAATAGCTTAAAAGGAGTTCAAAGCCTAATTTCCAAGGAAGTATCTTACTACAATTATTTGCAGCTTACCATTTTCCCCAGTCATTTCTTCCACAAATGAAACCAAGAAAACCAGTCAATAGTTGACACAGTCTAGTCTCAACTACTTACACTCTCTAAATGGACTTACTCCAGCCCAATTTCTTTTCTCATATTCATATCTTGTGTCTGCCAAAGTGTCAGCTCTTTACTGCTTAGAGTTTCTCCTGGAATCCTTGACTACCACAGAATTTCAGAATCTTTGCAGAAGTTTAAAAATAATAATTAAAAAAAGGCAAACCACTGCCCTTTGTCATGGCAGTAGGACTTTTAAAAGAACCCTGCTACCTTTGACCACTATTCCACAAATGCCTGAGGGTACAAACCCAGCCCTGGAAGGTATCCAATAGGAATTAATTTTGAAATATGGAGCCAACATGTTCTTTGCATGTCTGCATGAGCTATTTTAGGACTTCTTAAAGTTAATCCACCTCTGAAAAATGGATACTCTACAGGGTCATTCATTTAAACATTCTCAGATATAAGCATGTCAGTCAAATACACACGCTAGCTCTTCTATGTGCCTACCTTCCTGCTCATCTGCTACATTAATATTGTATTCCCAGGTACTGTGTGAATTCCAGAAGGCCACAAGAGTTCACCAAACAGCTGCAAATACCTTGCAGGATGCAAGTGGCACTGACTCTAGGAAACCATTCTTCTGGTAGCAAGCAGTTCCAGATATAGGGCCATATCACATGTTTCACTGTAATGGGATCACACCCATCAGCCCTCAGAGAGGGAGAAACCTTATGGTAAAATAACACTTGAAAGAACGCAGATCTGCATAGTGGGGGAAATTCTGTGTACGCCTGAATAAGAGACAGTTTTTCATACAAAATGACTCTACAAAGACAAAAAAATTACACCAAAGGCCAAGGTCAGGTTGATGTATCCACTCTGATAGCAGTGAGTGCTCTGTCTGAGCCTCAAAAGCCCACAGTGGGCAAGGCAAACACTCAGCCACACAGGTCCTGATTCACAGTGCACACAGGCCAGAAACAGCAAGCTATGCCAGACTCACACTTCCTGTGCTAGTAACAAAGGTTTGTTAAGTTTAACTTTTGTAACCCCATGAGCAAAAAACCAGGGTAACATTTCTTTCACCTTTTACTATTGTTATCTGCTTATAGGTCTGCCAAGCTAAGAGCAGGGAATGCTAAACAGAGACTGAAAGTAGTTAAGGTCATATAAAGATGTTTCATGTTACAATTTGCAAAGCAATGAGGAAGAATAATTACTCATACAGCAAAAGACATCAGAAATGCTATTTGAAGGTTCTCTTACAGCACCACAAGATTCAAACAAGTAACAGCTGAACACATTCTTCCTGACTAAACAAGAAAGGATGGTGGAATTGGCAAGCACATAGAAGAAACCATAATGTACATGTACAAAAATTTAGCATGCCTCAAGTGGCGTTCATATTGCTGACTGACCTTCTGTGCAAGTTGGCAGGCTTCTGAATTAAACAAAATCCATCAAACAAACATGCAGTGACTATATGTTGTCAAATAATTTTTTTAATGTTCATGAAGTATTCATATTTTAACAGCTGCCATCAGCTTTAGTCAAATGCCATTAACCATATGGCTTACTGTAAATAAGATACTTACCCTAACAATTTGTGTATGCTGTCGTTCAACAGCAAGATGAAGAGCAGTTTGCTGGTTAACATTCTGGATATCCAGGTTAGCATTGCCCTGCAAGATATTCAAAGCATTAGAACATTATCATCCCACCAACTCATCTATAGGCAAGGCAGTCCATTAGGACACTATCACCCTGAATACAATTCCAAGTTAGAGGATTTGAGAAGAGAAGTTATTAAACGCTTCAATTATTCTAAGTATAGATGTTAATCTGTTGAGTGAAACTAGGTATCAGATTTTTCAGTCACTCTGCACCATTAGGCCATTGCAACAATCTCAAAGGCAAGTCTGACCTTTAGAGCTCAACACGTCCTTTCCTGCTCCACTGTTTCCACATTGCAACTGCAGGCGTAAAGCAGCCAACTATTTTCACATCAGATTAACCAAATTAATTTCACATCAGGTTAACCAAAGCATGACATTTAAATTCTCCTGAGAAAAGAGTCCTACCTGATGCACCAGAAGTTCAGCCACTTCCACATGATTATTGAGAGCTGCCAGATGTAAGGCAGTGTAACCATCATCTTTTTTCTCATCAACAATCCACGGTCGTGGTAACTTGGACAACAACACACGCATTGCGCTACAAAAAATACAGAGATGGCATAAACACCCCTACAACATATGCTGAATGACAACAGTAGGACAACATCAATTCTCAGAACTACGTAGTAGTGGCTAAAATAATTTTCATCTTCTTTTCAAACAGAAAAAGTGGGTGAAAAGCTATACCAACAGTTCCAAAGCAGAATAATTTAATGTTCACTTTCTTCTAGTTAAAGCACACAAACAAACCACACAATGCCTGGAACAGTGTGAGGATCAGGTTTGTTTTTCAGAAGAATGCTACCTAGCAGTAAAAATTACATTAAAGACGTATTCAAACAAATTCTGAAATGTAGACAAAATAATTTTCTCCCTTAAAATCTTTACTTAAGTATTTAATGACCAAGTTCCACTACATTAGATTTCTTTAAAATCATCACTTTATAAATTGATGCCATGTGCTGTAACAATTAAAATTTCGTTTCTGAGAAAGAAAATGGAGCAAGATCTCTTAAGCACAGACAAAATAAATGCTGAAACTGTGAAGTGAGTACTAGTAGGATATTTTCTTAACATATAATGGTTGAATATAAACACCATGGCAGTGCCTGGTAGTCAGGGGGTAGGGTGGGGAAAAGCAACTCGATTACTACAAGTATTAAAGCCGAGTAAAATCCATGAAGTCCAAAGACCGAAAAAGTTAGACTGAAAGAGTTAAGGGTATTAACAACACAATGCTAGATATACAAATTGCTCAATCTTGTATTCTCTGAGAAACAGTTTTCTTAAGCTTACATGTCTTCACTTAGCTTTTGGAATATATACGTTACCAAACATAAACCCCTTATTGTCTTATCTTTATCAACAGCATATGCAGCTCCCTTATGACAGTTCCTTAAAGACAAACACAAAATCAGAAACCGCTACAATCCTGTGCCAAGAAACCTGTCATCTGATGTTTCCCTACTGTTGATGGAACATGCTATCTACAGGAGAAACAGAACTTCTGGACAAAATTCAAACTTTTAAAACACAAGTAATACTTGCTAATGCAAGTGGAATCGTTCAGTCACACACTGCCTTGCAAGGCAGAGAATGTTTCTGAATTAAATGAAAGTTTTTCATTAGAGTTCTGGTATCAAAAATGTGCAATCTCAATAATCCTCAGAGATAGCCTCATAAATTGAACCTCTCAGCTTATACTCAAAAATACCCTCCAAAGGTATGAATGATTGCCCTGTCAAGTAATAACTGAGCTCCCAGTTAATTCCAACCATCTGTTGCCTTGAACATTCACACTGAGGTGAAGTGCTATTCACTCCTAAGCTCTCTTTTAGGACAAACCAATCAGTCTCCTATCAAAAAAACTAAAAGCAGTGTCTGAGCAGAGCTCACCATAATGAGCCCTCTTTGAAAGCAGAGAAGTCTGTGAGGTAGACTACTGTACCAATAAGGAAGTGCGCTCCCTCCTACACACTGCTCAGATGCTCCTGTAAGACACCTTGCTTAATAAGCATCTCCATGTTTTCCTGCTACTGAGTGCACAACATAAACCCCTGGTTTCACACTTACGCTGCAGCTGCCAGAATGGTGTATTAAGTGACGCTTTTTTGCCCCCAGAATCGAGTGCCCAAAGGAATCACAACTAACCAGTTTTCAGGTCACAGGATCATACAAACCCACAGAAAACCAGCTGCTACATGGAACATCCATAGCCAAGATGTTCTGGATGTTTGTCCTCCTCAGAGTGGACAGAAGGCATTCTCAGTCTCTCAAGATTTTTTTGTTTTCCTGGCAGAAAGGTTCTTTCTTCCTCACAGTCCAAATCACTTACAACACAGCAATATAAAACAACAACACATAACAGATTGTACATTGCTCATTGTGAGCCATTACTCAGCTTCTGCTCATAACACCTTCTACAGCTCTCAAATGCACTAGGAAGAAAAGACTAGAATACTTCAGAAAAAAAAATGGTAACATTAATTCTTTGAGAGATTCACTTATGCAGGATTTTTCAAAATTAGTTATATAATTTAGTAAAATTCAAGTTACCAAAGCTTTATGAAATGTGGCACAATAAACCAGTATCAGTTGCACTGATAAACACAATCTATTTTGTAATGCAATGATGCCATATTTTCAAATCTTGGCACTATCAGAACTGTGTTAAGCCGCTTTAGGGAGGGAGCACGTCTGGAGCACTATGGTTTGTGCTTGGTATCTGGGCACACCACCACACCAGCTCTTCAGAATGCTGGGCTGATACAGAGTGCCAACAGCACAACAAGCCTTCTATAGTGGCTGTCCACAGAGCATCATGTCATATAAGCTCTTTATCTTCACCTGCCAGGCTCAGTGCTTCTTAAGACCCCATAAAGCTCTAGGGTATCTACTATGGATAGTCTAAAAACACAATAAAGAATTCCTAAAAATTCCCTATGACTGACAGAAGCAATATGACTGAGTGACCAGGAAAAGGTGAAGCAACAATAGCCTTAAAAAAAATATTAAAAAAAATCTTAAAACTGCAACTACAACTTGAAGAATACTATGGAAGTACATCAACACTTCAATTACAGCCAACCTGTCTCCAAAGTAGCTCTAGTCACTAAACAATAAACTGTCCTAAACAACCCAATGATATTTTATATTCTTTTCTTCAGTAAGGAAATAAGAAAATTGCCAACTCCACAGATAAATAAAATTTAAAGTACATTGACACACTTCATCAGATGTCTCAATATGTAAATGTAGTTCAGAAATACTACTGACATTTCTTTAATACACCTCATCTTTGAAACACAAATAAGAAACCAACTGACTCAGTATTTTGTATGCTGTGAAGAAAATCACTCATCTTAGTATCTGTGTGTTATCCTTACCATATCCTCTTTCAAATCTTTAGTTTGCTGTCTTATACCAGAATAATTTTTATCTGAAGTTTGACTAAAAAATATTTGGAGGTATCTTGCTTTCAGCGAAATGAGATGCCTGCTACATTTTTGGATGCTTTTAAGATGCATTGGTCTTACTGGAAAAACAGAAGGACCACCAAAACAAATAAATGGCTTCTGTGTGGAATAGATTTTCATCTTACTGATCACAGCAAATCATCAAAGGGCCAGGAACTCAGCTGTTTCTTTTTATTCAGATAAAGACTATATATCTCTTCCAGGCCATGCTATATTATGGGACAGGAAGATAGAAGGACTGTTTCATGGAATGACACCTTAAAATTCTGCAAGATATTAAAATGCTACAATGGTAAATTCCACTCAGTGGCTGCATCCTCCTCCTCATTAGATGAGAGGTAGTTTCTTTCAATTTTTACAGGATTTTCTAGAGCTACTGCCAAAATTTTGACAGCTAAGTGGCTACCATTCAGAGCAGCACTCACTGGAACAGGCATACATCATACAAAGTCACATTAGAGAATTAATTTTGCCAATTACACAGTAATTCTTGATTCACTCTTCCCCATGAAGTGTTACAGAAGAACCTGGGTTGTATTGCCCTGTATACACCACATAGATGTGACAACTCGCTTTTATCTTGTATACATTAAATGAACTACAGACTGCTTTCACTGCAGTTGTATTGAAAAGATCAAGAAATCAGCAAATCTATTAGTAACCCTGATCATGAAAACAACTACAGAAAACTTCTCAAGCTATCATCTTTAGTGTATTCAACTGTAACAGATTACATGGCTGTCTGAGGAGCTGCAAAGATTATTGATGCAATGCTTAAAACTCTTTATTGAAACACTGAACTTACGCCATGACTATGCTATCCATACATTATTACTGAAGCATCACCAATAAAAAAATTTGTTACAGGCAAGCTTTGGCATTTGCTGGTCTGCAGTATTTTCAGCTTGGCAGGAAGCTCATGAAGTTTTGGGCCTTTTTGCATTGGATGACCATTTACAACCTCTGAAAATTTCTAATGGAACAACAAGAGAAAAACTTCAGTGAGAATTTTTGAGGGAGTTATCTGTAAAGCTTCAACAGGGATAAGTAAACCATTGCTTCTTTTCCAGGAGCTAAACATGTGCTCAGTCAAAAAGGAAAGCTCAGGTGCGTATAGGGGGCTGAGATGGAGGTATCTGCAGCTTCCCCAGGTGCAGCTGTTGGAGGTACACTGACTTATACTGCCCAAAAGAATTCATCCCCATAAAATGACAGACTTTCAACAGTTGCAACAGTTACAAGTGATTTCGTCAAAGGAACATCCACTAATATGGCACTACATTTAGTTTGAGATGCAGAAGAGTAACAGAAAATGCTGCTGTTACATGCATCTTTATTTGACCCTGCCACATGAGTAATACTTTCTTTTTTTTCTTTTTAAATACAGATTTTTAGAGAGTCTGGAACCACAGCTTAATGTATACAGGATCACAGAATCATTTGGGTTGGAAGAGACAGTACAGATCATCTCATTCAAACTCTTGCCATGGAAATTCAGATTCAGCAGTGTGAATTGTGTATTTGCAATGTAAGATATGTCACAGATGTGAACAATACACTAATTCACTTTTAGCCACACAGAGCACTTGTTTCAACATCAAATGTTTAATGTTTATCAACATTAAACATACAGAAAATAAAACTGTTCTTACGATGAAAAGTTAGCATATGGTATATTATTCATAACCAACCTACTTATAAAAATGTTGGGTTTCATGCAGTACTTTGCTCATGGAACTTTTGCTGATGCTCATCAGTATTGTCAGAGAATACAACATTTAAGTATAGATTTATATGGAAAAAAGATAAAAGTATTTGTGAACAAGATGAAGCCAGCATCTCATTGTATAAAAGCAATTCCAGATTTAGCAGTCTTAACTGCAAAAGCAACCTTGCACCCTGTTTAAAAATACATGAACAAAAACTAGAGATTCTCTGCCACCAATGGAAATTTGAATGCATAATGTAAATTTGAATGCAGAAGTAAATTAAGAAGGTTGAGGGTTTGTGGGATAGTGGTGGGGTGGGGCTGGTTTGTTTGGCCTTTCAGGGATTGTTTGTT